AAGGACTTGTGTCGCTAAAGTTTTGTCAGAACGAATTTACGGAAAATTAACTAACGAACCGAGACGTAACAAATTGGTGTCAGAAGTGGGATAAAAAAAATGGAAACGAGAGGCGGAAAATCAAACTACAGCTTAGCAGACTTGATGGCAGCAATACAAGATCAGCAAAAGGAACAAGAAGAATGTTAAATTAAACAAGAAGAGAGATTACAGCAGTCGTTGGAGGAAAAAGAAAAGAAACAAGAAGAGAGACAACAGCAGTGGCAAGAAAACGTGCAACAGTGGCAGCTCGAACAGCAAAATAAACAAGAAGAGAGATTACAACAGCTATTGGAGGAGAAATGAAATAAACAAGAAGAGAGATTACAACAGCTATTGGAGGAGAAAGAAAATAAACAAGAAGAGAGACTACAACAGTGGCAAGAAGTACAAATGGAAAACATTAGTAAAGTTAAAAGCGAATTAGATACATTAAAGGATGATCTATTGTCTTTTACACAAGGATGATACATTAACCATCGACTTAATCAGCCCCAAACAATGGCAAGCCCCTTCCAGACCCCACAGCTAAACCCTAATGCAGACATCTTCAGTCCTGTTAGAAGTCACATCCCAGGTATGAATGTCAGTAATAGGAGTGATTCAGTAAGAAGGAAGCCACAGGAATACGATGGGAAAGCACCGTGGGAAGCATATAGAGCACAATTTGAACTACTGGCAGAAATGAATGGATGAACAGAGGAGCAGAAAGCAGTATATCTGGCAACGAGCTTGAAGGGACAACCACTGGAAATACTTGGACAGTTGTCAGCAGACGACAGACACAACTATAGAGGACTGGTAGTGGCTCTAGAACTCAGGTACGGAACCCAAAACCAGTCGGAAGTCTACAGGGCTAGATTTAGAACGAGAGTCCATGCTAAAGAAGAGAGCCTGCAAGAGCTGGCACAGGACTTGGAAAGCATGGCACACAAGGCCTACCCAACTGCACCACCCGATCTCCTCAAGTTGCTGCTGAGGGATCAGTTCATAGATGCCTTGGACAGTCCACCACTTAAGATACAAGTGAAGTAAGCACACCCATCTACCATGCAGGATGCAATGGCTAGAGCTCTCGAATTTGAATCCTACGTTAAGTCCAGCACAGAGGTACCAAGGTTGGTACAGTCATCTGGATTCAAGGCCAGAAAAGGTCAGCTTTCAGAGAGGTTTGAGGGACTTTGCTGGCACTGTAACAAACCTGGGCACAAGAGAGCTCAATGTTGGCAACTTCAACACAGGGGAGATGCCACAGCAGGAGAGGCTGCTATCCATAAAGGTTGTTGGAACTGTGGAAAGCACGGATATTTGAGGAGCCAGTATAGGAGGAATATTACCAACGAGTCAGCCTCAAGGAGACCAGTAGTGGTTGGTGTTGAGTAATTGAACTGCAGTCAGAGAGAATATTGTTAAGCATGTGAGAAGTTCGTTGAGAATTATAGCGTTTGTTACAGAGCGACTGTTGAAATCAACTGTATCGCAAAGTTATATTCAGAAAGAATAAACCAGTTTTATTTAAGAAAGGGCTTGTGTCGCTAAAGTTTCGTCGGAACGAATCTACGGAAAATTAACTAACGAACAGAGACGTAACAATATTTTATGTCCAGAAACATGACTGAAAAACTAGAACATTAAATATTTTTAAGGAAACAAAACCAAATTGTTGCTGTTTAACTTTCACTCCATTAACAACTTGTGGATAAGATTGCACAGACACAATTTTTTTACTTAATATTACATTCATGAAGCTTTTATAAATTATATTTCAAACTACCACTTGTTTCAAGAACATACATGTATGAGAAAATGTTGTGACTGTGATGTTATCTATAGATAGTATTTTGGTTATACTTACTTTTATTTTTTTTTATAAAACCATTATAAATACCATTATATTTGTTAGAGATTTATCACTCAACCAAAGTCTAACATTCCTAAAATTCCTATGTGAACTTATCTGCATAAGAAGTGTCTAAATTATATATCTTGTTAGGGTTAGCTAGTAAGTATTAATATTAATGCAATACAATATTACATTAGTAAACAAACATTTGAAAATTGATATTTAAGAGATCATTAAATTAAGGCCTAAAACTTATTAGAATATTTGGTACACACCTTCATTTGGAGAAGGACAAACTTCACAGGGATCAGAACCCCAAGCTACAGAACCTTCCAGACAACAACATTCACTGAGAGTAACATTCATTCTTCTTGGTATCTTACAAACTCCATTCTCCAAAGATGTATAACAGAAGTTCTTTCTGGTATCTGAAATATAAAGAAAAATATCAAGTAAAAGAATGAAACAATACAGCTCTTTCAGTTTTATTAGGTAATAGAAGTCTTTTTAGTTAAGCTAAAATAAAACAAATTTCCTTGACTTAAAAAAAGAAACTTGTAGCAATAGTATTAACATACCATACTATTCACTAGAATGTTTCTTTACAGCTAAGACAAGCTTAGAGTTAAGGAATTCATACAGAAATATCATGAACAGTGGATAAAGTATATGCAAAGAGATATACAAACAGCTACTTTATACACTATACTTTAACTTTATTTCTTTATTCTAATCATAACAGAATGATTATAAAAAAGTGATAATACAATGGAAATGAACAATTTATCTTAAAAGTATCTCATTCTTCTGAAAATTATAAAAGCATCAAGTTATGAGTTCAGAATAAAACTAAAGCATACCATAACACTTATTCTTCTCAGCAGACAAAACAAACCCTGGTGGGCATTTGCAGGAGAAACTTCCTTTAGAGTTTATGCAGGTTCCTCCAAAACACAACTGGGGATTGGTTCGACATTCATCAACATCTAAGAACAGAGATGCATTATTGAAAACACAAAATTTACACTGTTTAGATGGTCTTCATGGAAACAAATAATGATCTGAATAACCTTCATAAATACTGATGATGTTGATCGAGAGTCCTGTTGACCTATGTATTTAATGGAGGCTTGTGAAAAGGTGATTATTTTATGAGGAATAAAGACAAAAGAAAGGTTATAATGCAAATAAGATAGAGAAAAGAAAAAAAAAGAAAATTAAATGGATAAAGAAATCTTGAACAACAAAAATATGCTAAGGAAAAGACTTGGTGGCAGAAAAGCCAATTAACAAAGAGAGAGAGGAGAAAAAGTTGGAAGCATGGATTGCCATTAAAGTATTTAAATATCATGAGAAATTTGAAGGACAAAACCCATTTAAAGCAGGAAAAGTTTTAACAAGCTGACATCAAATAAAAAAGAAACCAGTTCATTAGGAGAAGAAGTAGAACCTAAAAGAAAAATAAAGAAAATATTAGATGGAATGAGAGAAATTAGAAACGAGAATATAGAGAATTGAAACAAGATTTAACAGAGGATAGTAAAGTTAGAAACAAATGAAAAAAACGGGGAGAAGTCAAACTAAATTAACAATAGAATATAGAATTAGAAATTGAATCTAATTATCAAGGCATAAAAGGAGAAAAAGACCTGGTAAACAGATAAAATTAAAGTTAAGAAAGTCATTGAAGAGAAGACTGGATTTATGCTAAAGGAATAGCAAGAATGCAAAGGATTGTGGTGAAAGGTGGGATATATACAAGATCCATTACAATCAAATTTGAAAAAGAAAAGAAAAATAGAGGATTTGGAGAGAGAAAGCAAAACTGAAAGAGGACTGATAATACTTGGAAAAATACTTTTCTGCTAGTATGCAATGGAAAATAATTATTCATAAGAACAAAAATTGAGAGGAAGAAAGAAGAAATCAAAATTATAATTTGAAATATTACAGGGAGGATAAACAAAGGATAAAGATTTTTAGGAATATGTAAAAGGATTCGATGTAATAGGATTAATGGAGACATGGATCAAGGAGTAAGAGAAAGAAGATACAATTTTCTAAAGAGTTTAAACGGAAGAACTATCCAGTGAAAAATGTAAAGAAAAAAACGAAGAGCTTCAGAAGAAATCTTAATGTTGATTAAGAATTAAGAAAGAGTGTCACACCAGAAGGAAGAAGAAGAATAAAAGGTCAACCACATCAATAATAAAGTGTGAGAGATTACTGGTAAAAGTAGTTTGTAATAAAAAAGAAGTGAACCAATTACAAAAAAAAGTTGGAAGAGGCAGGGGATATATAAGAACAAGAAAGAGCAGAAATGTCATGGATAACGGATGACTTTAAAGAAAGAAAAGGTGAATAAGAAACATGACAGGAAGAAGGAAAACAGGAATAAAAAGAGACAAAAATATCTAAAGGAAAGGTATATACGGTAAAAGGAAGGAAATTTTTGAAGTTAGTAGATGGAAATGGGTTTGAAATCTTAAATGACAGTAAGATGGGAGATGAAAAAGTGGAGTATACTTTTACCAGAAAAAAAAAAAAAGAATACAGTGAAAAACTATGCTAGTGTTAATGAATAAGCAAACAAATAATGAAATTTAATGTAAAAGAGAGAAGGTTAATCTGATCATTAACCAACAGGATGGAGAAGTAAAATGAAGAGAAATATGAGGAAATAAACAAGATATATTTGGGGAGATTTAAAAGTGAAAAGACTTAAAGATAACCTAATGAAATCAGAAGTTAGCGAAAGAATGGTGAAAGGAAGAAAAAAAAAAGGAAGAGAGAAAGGATGAAGAATAGAAAAGCTAAAGGAAGACTAAAAAAGTAAAACATTTGAGAAGAACAAAGGAAGAGGAATGAGAAGAAAAGTTAAAGGAATATAGTGGGGTAAAAATGAAATATAAGAAGATATGCAAAGAGAAAAAAATGATGAACTAGATTAAAATGAGAGGAAAATAATTGAAAGGTGAAGACAAAACAAGAACTGCAGAAATTGATATACGAAAATAGAAAACAAGAGCAGGGAATTAATAAGATATGGAAAAATGCTTTGAAAAGACTGACTGAAGAATTAACAAAGATTATAAGTAAAAGTTGGAGAGTAACGGCCTTCAACATTAATGGAGAGACAGTGATTTGCCAAACTTATAAAAAGGGAGATTATGATCAAGTACAAATTAAACATATGCAATGCCATTTAGAGAAACATTATGCAGCTGGGTATAACATAAAGAAAAACTCTCAGAAGAAGAGGCAGGGTTTGGAAAGTACAGACAAGTGATCAAAGAAGAAAAGAAATCAAAAGAAAGTATGTGTTTTTTATTTGAATCTAAATGCCATATGTATGAAATGTATATGGGACAAACTATATGGAATGTAAGTAATGTAAAATTAAGGGAAAACATGAGAAGAGTGATACAAGAGATATGTATGAAAAACAATCAACGTAATAAAGGAGAATGAAGCAGTCAGACAAATTCTGGACTACCAGATGAGGACAATTCTGGTTAATATACTTATTTTTAATACAAAAGAGCTTTTGAAGAACAACTAGGCTGGGGAAACTGTAATCAGAAAAGAGAAAATTAATACTTTGTTAGTGTACAGTCAGTCAAACATACTTCACAAGGCTAGCTTGTATGCCAGGATCTTTCAAAGATACATTTTATTCACAGAAAGGCATCAAACAAATCACCTGCAATGGTGCCAACAAGAAGTTCAATGGATTAATAGAATGTGGAGCAATATTCTTTTCACAGATAAGTTGCTTTTTATCCCTGCAGTTAGATAACAATTATATAGTCATCTGAAGAGAAACTAGAACCAGATGTAACACCATTTTTATACAGAAACATGACACATATGGTGATGATGGAACTAAGGTGTGGACAAGAACAAACATTGGTAAATATAGGACCTATATATTGTGCAGAATGGTACCATTAATGCCATAAATTATGGCAACCTTATGACCTTTGTATTGCAATATGTTGGTGTAGTTTGCCCTCACTTTAGCTTAATTGATAGCAGCATATGCACACACTGTGGTTATACTTGTTGATACAGTTCTTGAAGAAAAATGCATTGACCAAATGGAGTAGCCTGCACATTCACCACATTTTAACCTTTCCAAAAATATATGTGTCAGGGTTTTTGTATGCGGGTTGAAATACTTTATAGCAGGTGTCTGATTTCTTGGCAATAAATGTTGACAATAAATGGACAGCACACAATTCACTTGTTTTAAAATAATATATTCAAAAAACAAGTCAAATGTATGTATAAAAACTCATTACACTATTGGTTATCACAGTTGTAGCTAAAGCTTTAAGTAATTCTCTTTTCTTGTCAAAAGTCCATACAGGCTAGTTCAGTTCCTCTAGAATCCAATTGACATTACAAATTATTCTTCTCTTTTTCACAATACAATCTGTGATAAATTCACTTACGCTACCTTGTGAATTATCACAGTTGTATCCAGAACTTTAAATAATTGTCTCTTTCTCATCAAAGACCACACAGGCAGGTTTAATTACTTTAAAACACTCTTTGACAGGTGAACTGTGAACTCACTTTAAAATATCGCCCATTACAGCTAAACTAACAATCATGCAGTCTAACTTCACTTTCACTAACTTAACATTTTCTGACTTAACTTGTGCTCATTTGGTTCCCTATATATACACATTGTCCAACTGTGGCCTAGTATTTTCTACACACTAGAAAACACTTTGGTGTAACAATATACACTTAAGGAAATGAGAAAACTTTAGAAGGTTAGAGTAATGTGATGTCAATTTACAGTAACTAAGGCCTAGAACTTTCTATAAACTAGAAGATGTTATGATGTAACAATACTCGCATAGCAAGAAAACTTACAGGTTTTGAGAAAGATGACGTGAACAATACTACAACAATTCAACTACACACACTACATACCACTCTTACTGAGTTACGTAACAAAATCTGTCATAACTATCACCTTTAAAATAATTACTTTTAACACTCTTGCCATGTAAACTAAATAATCATTAAATATTAGATCACTAAATGAACTAAATAATAACTCTTACAATAAACAGTCTTGTATATCCAACAATAAGCCCTCTTCAAGAACAATATTTATAATTATTTATAATTATATATTTTTTACAATATACAAAGATTGTTCTCAGTTCATACAGTCTGCACCAACATTTGCAGTGCCCTTAATGGCTTTAATGCAGAACTTGTAATTATGGAAGTGCAACACCCACCTCATGATCCTCTCACTGTCGAATTTGCACCTCTGGATGTATTCAAGTGGTTGATGGTCCATCTGGATGATGAACTTCTTCCCATATAGGTAGTTCTGGAACTTCAAGATGGCAAATATGATGGCCAGGCACTCATTCAATCATAGAATAGTTCTTCTCACTACTCAACAGCTTATTACTTACATACATTACCAGAAACAGTCCTTCATCATGTTCTTGTAGGAGTACTGCTCCAATTCCAATGTCTGAAGCATTTGCCTGAACAATCAACGGTTTTTTGAAGTCTGGCATTCTAAGGATTGGCAAACTTCCCAACATGTTCTTTAACTTTTGGAATGTCATCTGCTGTGGTTTTTCCCACTTCTCCTTTATGGGTAGAGCTTCTTGGTCAGGTCAGTCAATGGTACAGCAACTTCAGTGTAGTTTGGGATAAACTTCCTCTAGTATCCTTATAACCTCAGTAATGATCTACCTTGCTGCTAGGTCATTGGAGATGGTGCATCTTGTCTGCAGACTAACTTTTTCTCTTCCATGGCTATTTGTTGGTCCTCCACCTTGTGTTCAACAAACTCCAGCACAGAATAGCTGATGTAGCACTTAGGTGGTCTGATGGTTAGACCTGCTGCCCTCACTCATCTGAACAGCACTATAAATTTCTCCAGGTGGTCTTCCCATTTGGCTGTGTGGGTCAGAATGTCATCCACATAATGCTCAATGTTGGT